GGGCCAGGCTGGGCCGGGCTGGCAGGGGCACAGAGCGTGACTGGTGCCACCTCCCTGCTCCGGCAGGGCCAGCCCAGAGCACAGGGCACCGCATCGTGTCCAGAGGGCTCGGGAATATCCCCGCTCAGGGAGACTCCAGCCCCTCCCTGGGCAGCCTGGGCAGGGCTGGGCAGTGCCCAGGGCACCAGTTCTGCCTCCTGTGCAGGGGGAATTGCTGGGCTCGGTCCCTGCCCGTGGCTCTGGTGCCACTGCTGGGCCCCTGAGCAGAGCCCGGGCTCTGCTGGGAGCCCTCCCTGCACACAGGGACAGCCAGGGCTGAGGCCCCTCTCAGCTGGGGCTCCTCTCCAGGCTGAACAGCCCCAGCTCCCTCAGCCTTTCCTCCACAGGGAGATGCTCCAGGCCCTCCTCATCCTCACATGTACTGGCCCCACTTGAGGAGCTCTGTGTCTCCCTTTTCCTGAGGACCCCAGGACTGGACGCAGCGCTCTAAATGTGTCTCACCAGGGCTGGGCAGAGGGGCAGGGCTCACTTTCCCCTGCACTCTGGCCATAGCTCATGCCCGTGTCCCTGCAGTGCAGTGCCCCTGGCCCATGTGGAGGTGGAGGGCCGCAGCGATCGGCCACCCCTTGTCCTGCTACATGGGCTCTTTGGCAGCCACAGCAACTTCCAGACGGTGGCCAAGACACTGGTGCGCCGTGGTAGCGGCAAGGTGAGGCAGGGGCGTGGGGGGAGGCGCAGCACACGGAGGGGGCCGGGGTCATGGTGGGCAGCTCCCGTGGTGACGCGCTGCCCCTGCCCAGGCAGGTGCTGACGGTGGACGCCCGGAACCACGGCAGCAGCCCCCACAGCCCCGTGATGACGTATGAAGCGATGAGCTTGGATGTGCAGCACCTCCTGAGCCGCCTGGGCATCACCAAGTGCATCCTCGTGGGACACAGCATGGGGGGCAAGACGGCCATGACACTGGCCTTGCAGCAGGTCAGCAGCCACAAGGGTGGGAGTGCAGTCACAGGCGCAGGAGGTTCCAGGGGGGGCTGTAGGAAGGGGATGGTCCCTTCTGAGACTGTTCACCAGTGCCAGCCTTGTCCCCAGCTCCACAGGGACTAGTCTGTACCAGAGTGGGTGCCGTCCCACACGGAGCTGTGAGCCAGGCTACGGGAGCAGGAGCAAATCTACGTCCACCAGCCCATGCTCTGCCCTGTGACTCCAGCACAGATTGTGAGGGAGCTTGGAGATCTGTGCTGAGCACAAAGACTCTGGGAAGGGCACATGGAGTCTCTGCTGAGACAGGAGGGAGCCAAGAGCCTTCAGAGAATCTGACTGGGAGTGGAGCCCTGTGCCCACTCCAACTGGGGAGATCTTGGGAGATCCTGGCATCTAATGTGCCCTGCATGTGTCTCCAGCCAGACCTGGTGGAGCGCCTCATCTCTGTAGACATTGGTCCTGGCTCAACCGCCCCCGTGTCTGAATTCTCTGCCTACATCTCAGCCATGAAGGAGGTGAAGGTCCCGGTGGGGCTGAGCCGCTCGGCAGCACGCCAGCTGGCAGATGACCAGCTGCAGCCTGTGGTCAAGGTGGGAAATCCCATGGGAGATGGGGGAGGATGAAGGGTGCCAGGACATCATGTTTGGTTGCTCTTACTGAAGAGCATGTGGTCCCCTTCCGTGGCAGCTCCCACAGCTGAGACAGTTCCTCCTCACCAACCTGGTGGAGGTGGAGGGCCGCTATGTGTGGCGGGTGAACCTGGAGGCTATTTCCCGGCATCTGGCAGATATCATGAACTTCCCTGTCTTCCACAAGCCGTATCCTGGTCCTGCACTGTTCTTGGGAGGTTCTGACTCGCCCTATATCAGGTGAGACTGGAGAGAAGCGGTTCCAGGTCTGTTGTTTGACCTTTTGTGCTCTTTGCAGCTGCCGAAGGTGGGACAAGCTCCCGGGATGGGGCAAGTCCTGAGCAAGGGCTGACACCGACACCCTGGAGCAAGGGACAGCCTGGGGTTCCTCCACCTGGGCTTTCCCAGCAGGGAAGGAGTCATACCTGGGATCACCCTCTGCTTGGGGATGGGGAGTGAAGACACCAGGAGGGACCTCTGATCATGGCATGTTCCCTTGTCCTGTAGCTCCAGAGACTACCCAGAGATCCAACGCCTCTTCCCCAAGGCAGAGATCCAGTACATTAAAGGTGCAGGCCACATAGTCCATCAGGATAAATTTGAAGAATTCATCACTGCTGTCCTCAATTTCCTGCCACAGCTGTAGCACTGGGGACCAGGGTTTCTGTAAAGCCCGTGTGGGTCCTGAGGAGCTCTGGGCAGTGACGCAGGGCTCGGGCTCTGAGGATGGGCTCAGCTGGGACTGGCTGCCCTCACTGCAGTCTGATCCTGCCTGCAAGACCTTTTCCCATCCTGGTTCTCCTGCAGTCAGAGCAGAGAGGCACCTGCATCCTGCTGAGATCTCCTGCCACCTCACAGGGACACGGTGGCACTGGCTCAGGACACTGTCCTGCCTGCACAGCGGTGTCAGGCACATGGAGGGGGCAAAGAGCCCTCTTTTTTCCTGCTGCCAGACCCTCCCAAGGATCTGGCTGTGACTTTGCAGAATGTGCAATAAAGTTGATTTCATGCCAAGGCAGAACACAGGTTGGATGTGGCCATGGAGGGCAGGGCACATGTTGGGGGCACAGGAAGAGGTTCTCAGTTGGCAGCAGGGATGCTGGTGGGAAGTGACCACTGGACTGGGCCCTAATGTGACGTGTGGGAGCAGTGCACAGGAGACACAGGTTTGAGGATCTTTCTTGGCTCCCAGGGGAAATTGCATCCTTGCTATGCCTGGGGCAGTGTAAGGATTGGGGAGTGGGGGAATCTGCCTCCTGAGCAAGGAGCACATCTGCCCAGGCTGCCCCAAAGGCAAGTGTTGCTTCATCCCTGAGCTCCCAACAATTTCTCCCTTCCCACCTGCTCTGCATCCTCCTGAAGCACACCCACAATAAGCTGGAGACAAAGGAGCAGGGTGTCTGCTGCAAAAATCTCTTTATTGGACAACTGTTAAAGCCAGGGACAGTGCAGAAGTGATTATGGGGGTGACATAAACTAGGAACACACTGTGTGTGTGGACAATAGAGAGACACTAACCATCTCTGCTTTTGCTGCTCCAGAGTCAGGTGTCTTCTGCTCTCTGGAATGAGTTTTCTTAATTTGGGGTTGTTTGCAGGCCCTAAAAGGACGGGAGGGCAGAAGACTGAGGATGTTTTATTCCAGGTCTGGCTGTAGTTGCCTAGCAGAGTGGGAAACAGGGACTGCTTTGGAGATTTGCTGTTTCTGCAGAGCTGTTCTTGTCCTTTCCCCTTTCCCCCTTCCCCTTTCCCCTTTCCCCTTTCCCTTCCTCAGGAGCTGGGCTGCATTTGCCTTGAGTTTTCTGCTGTATCACCCTCAAATTCAAACACTTTTGTTCTCTGTGTATTATTTTTTTTCCTGTGAAGGACATCAGACCAATAAGCTCCAGAGTCACAAGCTACTGAAATGAGTTCCTTGTGTGCCACCAGCCAGCTGGGGGTGGGGCCTGTCCCCAGCTATCAGCACACAACACCTTTGGACCAAACTGTGAGCTCTGGAACACAGGATTGGCGGGGGATTTCTCCCTGCTCCTTCCTGCTGGCCAGGTACCAGGTTTGGGGCACAGACAAAAGGCAGCTATATAGTGTGAGGTGAAGAGTCTGACCATGGCAGGAGATCAGTGGCCTGAGATGAAGTAGAGCTTCTAGAACATTGTAGTCTGTTCTTGTGCTGAGGGAGCATAGGGGAGCATTGTAGGACCTGGGGTGAGAGACAGCAGGGAGAAATGAAAGCAGCTCTGTTTCCTGCATGGAAAAGGTACAGGGAATCAGGAGATATCCCAGGGGAACATCCAGGCATGCTCATGTCTTGTACACATGAGCAAGACATGGTGCCATGGGCTACACCAACTCACGGGGCTCTCATGCCCATCAAGTGTCAGGGTGCTGATGCCTCCAGAGATCCCCTTGGGATCCCTGTTCAGGCCCACAGGGGACAGCCACCCCCCAGAGCTCTGTCATCACAGGCTGCCAAGGGGGTCTCAGGGTAGTGATACCTAACTGCCCCTTGCCTTTGAGCTTCGGACACTCCCTAGGGCTGGACCCTAGCATCCCACTGGAGGCTCTGGCCAGGAGCAGACCATGGCCCTTCATCTCTCACCTGAGTCAACTCAGATCCAACTGCTCCACCATCCTGAGGTGGTGGAGTGAAGATCTGTCAGTGAAAATCTGGCTGACCCTGATGCTCTTTCTGAAGCACAATGTTTGAGGAGGCAAGCCTTACCCACGTGCATCCTACATTGATTCTGCATCTCTTCCACTTCACCAGGGCTCAGAACCCCTTGGGTCAGCAGGTTGTCCAGCACCCCAGAGATCAATGGGTTGCTCACATGCTTCACAAACTCTTTCTGCACATTTTGGAGCAGCTTCTCTTCAGGATGACACCATGTACCCCATGCCATAGCTCCAGCTGCCCCACCATTCCCTGCAGGAATCTTCCCCATCACCTCTCTACCTGCTCCCCCTGTCCTATTGCCAACTCAGGGTGCTGCTCCCTCCCTCATTCTCCAGCCCAGAGGCTTCTCCTGCCATCACCCACCTTCCCCTTTTCCCACACATTTTTCCCAGGGAAATTGCCCGAAGCAATGCATTTGCAAAGATTCAGCATCCGCGGGACAAGGATGAAGCTCCCTCCTGCACTTCTCAGAGCCAGGCCCAGGACAGCTCCACTCACAGCTGGCAGGTAGGGATGGTTGTCCTTCCTCTGTCGAGGACAAACATCCCTTGAGCCGCACCCTCAAACCCTCCAGACCTGTCTGGGGCTGGGCTCAGCTCATTCTTTCCGGGGGCTGCAGAGAGACACCACCTCGGGCAGCAGCAGCTCATGCTGGCAGCTGGGAGCACTGGAACAGCTGCCCAGGGAGGGCGTGGAGTCTCCCTCTCTGGAGACATTCCAAATCCACCCGGGCACGTTCCTGTCACCTGCTCTGGGTGATCCTGCCTTGGCACAGGGGTTGGACTGCGTGATCTCCACAGGTTCCTTCCAGTTTCAGCTGTTCTGCGATGCAGCCCGCAGGATCCTGGAATGTAAAACCTTGGCTGTGAGAAAGCCTGAGATTGCCTCCTAACTCCACCAGCGGGACTGTTCCGCAGGGCACGCTGAAAATGTGAAGGGTACAAGTAACGCAGGGATGAGGCAAGGGGCAGAGGCCTCCCCTCTGGGGGAGGCACACCCAGGCAGAGAGAAGCAGCAACTGCCCGAGGCTGAGCGGGGCGATAGAACGGGGAGGCCTCACGATCTCTTGATCATTCAGGTGGCTTCCGTAGACCGCGGGGCCCNGGGGTCGCAGTCAGACCGAAGAACGGGACGCGAGGCTCCCGCTGGGGCCAGCCCTGCTCGCTCCGGCCCTGCCGCGGGCCCTGAGCCCTTCCCCGGGCCGAGGCTGCGGGCGCGGCTCGCCTCCCTCTCCTGTCCACCCTCACTGGGGCCGTGCAGATCCCAGTGCCATGGAAGTGCCTGGTGGGTGGGAGATTCTTGTTCCACAGGCATCCGGAGTAGCGGCGCGGAGCTGGTTCTTTTTTGCACGCGGTAGGGTTTGCCCAGCGCTCCCCTGGAGGCCACACACGGCTGTGTTGGGAGCAGGTGCCTCCCCTCCGTGTTCGGTAGGAGTTGTTTCTGTGCTGGTTTGGAACTACGAGTGGCTGAAGTTTTTGGTGTGGAGATGGTGATGCAGGTTTGACATTTATTTAGAACCCGCTCAGCTAACTGTGTTGTAAACATTGGCTTCTCTAAAGCAGATGATGTGATGCCTTTGGGGTTTCCTGCTGAATTAACTGAGGTGGGATGAGCTCAAAATAATCCGTGTTAAATTGGAGGTTCCTAGAATGTCATTGGGCATGAGAGTTCGTAAGGATCCTGATGGTGATTTTGGCAGGGACTTGAAGGAAGCTGACAGCTAAAAGCTGAGGAGCTGCATGAGCAACTCAGAGTGCTAAGTAAAAAATGGGAAATGAGAATCCCACTCTGTGGCCTGGCTAGTCTGGCATTGGACTTTGGGGAGACCACACATGTTTTACCAGAGAAAGCAAACTTCAGGAAGAGTCCAAAATAAGGAGAAACAAGGGAGGGAGAAGTGGGATCTGTCCTGAGAAGCAGGAATTTTTGTCTGGGTTCATGAATATATTGAACACAGGGAGCTGGGCTGGAGGTGGTCTTTGGTACCGCACTGAGGAAGAGGAGAGGGAATGTTAACTCAGCTCTCACATTGTTGCAAAAGCTGCTGTGGCCAGGTTTGGTGCTTGTGTGTGGTTCAAAGCTGGTGAAAAGCTGAGTAGAGTTTGGAGATGTATGAGGTGGTATTAAAGGTGAAAAAAGCTGACATGTGGTACAGAGAGAACTCCATCTGCTTCCTCCAGCAAGAGTTTGAGAGAAGATCTGGCCAGTCTGCATCTGCTTGTGGGGAACAGAGGCTGGACACTGGGAATTCAGAGGCTGGTCAGGGTATGTGTACATGGAATCCAAAATGGATATCTTTAGGTGACAGATTCATGCGTAAGAAAAAAATTCCCTAAGTCAGTGATGACTTTGTATTGGCTGCCAACTTTTACACGGAAGCTTCATATTTTTCTTTTTTTTTTAATAAAAGCAGCTGGGCTCACAGCCCCAGGAGTTCAGGGTCTGCTCTGCTTGGGGGTCTGTGAGCTGGCCGTGGTGTCTTTCAGGGAGTTTGCTGGAAGATGGACATGTAAGTAAACTGGGAAATAAATGTAAAAGTTTCACTTATAAATTTCTAGGAATATCTGGGTTCCCCTTTTCTTTGCTGCATTCTCAGAAATCTGTTTATCTGACTGTGACAGTTATTTAGTTTTTCTGGGAGAGCCTTGACTGGGACATTTCCTCAGAGGTGTCACTGCTGTGGGTTTTGTGGCGGGGTCCTTCCAGCCCATCTGTCTCAACAACAGTGTAACTTATATATCAGATTTGGTTGAAACAAGCTAAAAGGAAAAAAAAAAACCAAATCTAAAATCCAGATCAAGAGAAGCTTCAGGGGCAGATCTTGCCACAGAGACTTTGGAGAATGCTGCTGTGCCATCTTTTATTGTGATCTCAATCTGCCAAATATGCACTGGCCTGGTTTTGTTTTTTGTTTAGTGAGGCTTCTCAGAGTGTCTCTTGTGCCAGTGCTGGGGGAGCGCAGGGATGATGTGAGCAGCCTTTCCTTGGCCTGGTGCCTGTGTCTTGCTGAGCTTTGCTCACCTGGAGGCAGGTGCCAGGCCTGGATGACTCTAGTCCGCCCTGTTTGTGAGGATTGCTCTGGGAATTGGGCCTTCTCCTCCAAGGGATGTGGTTTTAGTCTGAGCTGTTTGAGACAGAGCGATTTCCTTTCTTCTTTGCTGTCTCCAGATTGTTTCAGAGGCTGCTGTCAGTGGAGGGAGAGGGTTGTTCTTAGTAATACTTTAGTAGGTGAGGAAAAAGAAGGGTAGAGAGAACTGAGATTGTTTCGGGGTGTGTGTGGTTGCACTGAGTATGTGCAGTGGTGTTGGAAATGACTGAGCATTGTTTCACAGGAAAATCCAGCAGTGTCATCTAACCCAGGTTATTTTTATCAGAAAGAAATGTGAACAGAAGGAGAAAAATCAGTGTTGCATACTTGCACATCACACTCAACTTCCCAGGACAGGTTTGCTCCCCCAAGGAATTAATAATTATCAAGGAGTTACAAAAGCTGAAACCTTCTCCCTTCTGAGGCTGCTCCAGCCAGGCAGTTTCCCATGTGTTTTTGGATTTCAAGTGGGCTCTTACTGTGAGACTTGTTGCTCTTTGCAGAACTAGATCAGGGCCCTTTTTAGATAATGATGAATGGAGATGAGAGCTATTAAAAAAATTACTTTGCTCTTAGCAAATTAGCATAACAGGTTAATCCCTGTTGATAATTGCTTTCCTGTTCTTCAGGAAGATGCTGGGGCTGTGATGGAGTAGGGAGGAGTTTTGTCTGATCACTTGGAGCATGCTGCTGGCCGATGTAATCGCTTCCCTTCTGTTCCTCCCTGATGCTCCTGCAGTTCCATGCACTCCCAACAGCCCCAAAGGATAGGATTTCCCACCAGAGGGATCAGATGATTAGTTTATAAATAGCAAATGCCTGTTCAGGCCTACTTTCCAGGGTGATTTGGTCCCTCTCCTGTTCAAAGCAATACAACTGCATCCATGCCTTGCGGCCCAGAGCTGAATCCAAGGAAAGAGGGATGCTTTCCCCTGAGATGATCAATTTCTGCCCAGAAGGAAACTGCCTTGGTGCCAAGTGCTTTGGCTTTGCAGCCAGAGCCTCAGAGGGAGGATTGACTGGGAGGCTCCGGCAGCAGCAGTGCACTGTGCTGCTGGATGTGCCGGCACAGCATTCAGCTGGGAATGTGAGCTGAAATGAAACTGAAACATGTTCAATGGCTGAATCGTGTTTGAAATGAGCCTGTGTTCCTGCCAGGAAGCCTGTGCTGGTAGTGGGGCACCCTTGTTTCAAAGCCTGAGCTCTTGGAGTCCTCTTTGCGTTGCACACGTTCCCTCTCACCTATTTCCTTCCAACTTTCCTTCCTTTCTCTCTAGTTTAATCAGTCCTGGGCTGCTGAGAGATTCTGACACACGTGCCCAGGTTTGATGTGCAGCCTCTGGTTGCCCTGACATACCTGGGTTTGTCTCAGAACTGGAGCATTCCCAGCAGGGTGGGAATTGAATTGTGGGGATAGTTTCATGGGGTGTTTCATGGTGTGCAATATCGGTGTGTAGTGGGTTTGGGAGCAGCCTCGGCCTTTCCAGACAGAGGTAACTTTAGAATGACAGAGCATCAGCAGAACTAAACTGACAGTTCCCACTCTTAACAATGGTAATGTCTTTGTTGTTAATTATTACTTTGTCTGTGTTGCTGTTTCTCAGTTGAGAGATGCCCTCAAATTTCTTCTTCAAGAGGGAGAAGCCTGCCCAGTGCCTATCCCAAGAGAGGAGAGTTATGTGTCAGTATATTCTATTTCAACATGTATCAAGTTTCTGGCCTCAGAGGTTTCCTTTTATGTTGTGAGCATTTGTAGGCGCTTTATTCCCTTTAGTCTCTGATGGAGAGCATTTCTGATCTGCCTTCCCTCGTGGATCCTATTGCTTCACTTCTAGGTGGAGTGTTTGCTCAGCAGTGTGTGTGACACAGCTGATCTCAGGCACTGCACACCCTGGAAGGTCAGCTGGCTCGGCCACGCACGACAGAGTTCTGCTTTTGCCAACATTTATTTTCCTGAGGGACAGAAGCACTGCACTGTCTCTTGCAAGGGTGCAGGCCTGATCCCACCAGAGGTAGAGACAGGAACAGCGTTCACAGGGAGGATAGCATTTAGGATTGAGGTTTTCCTAAGCCTTGGGAATGGGGTTTGCTAGAAATAAGATAGATGGGAATGTTCTGATAGCAAAGTACAGGAGACATATGGGGTACCTCTGTCTGAGATGGAGCAAGAGCCAAGTCTGGTGACCACTGTCAGCTCCTCCCTGCTTCGGAGGAGCCTGTGCTGGCAGTAGGGACAGAGGTAGACATGGCTCACAACTTATCTGCTTGGGGGCAAAGTCTTGCAGCTGAACTTAAGCCCAGAATTGCAGTGGGGTATTCTCTAGAGCTCAGCTTTCTGCCATTTCATGCTGTCAGAACAGCACTGGCTGGGAAGTGGAGTCGTTGTGTCTTTTCCAACCTGACCAGTTCTTCGCTGCAAAATGAAATTGTGGAATTGTTCTCAGAACGTGCTTGGACATGGCACTGCCTGTGAGTGACAGCTTTATGGTAAGGACCCTCAAAGCATTTCTACTTTACAGTCAGTTCAATTGCTTAGGCTCTGCCAGCCTTTCCCTGATGGTCCCTGCTGAAGCTGAGGACTGCTCCAAGTGAGCAAGGGCTGCAGTTTGCATTGTTCCTTCTGGAAGCTTCAGAGGTTTTGTTGGTTTGTTTTATTCTAGAAACTTGTTGAAGTAGACAGCTTCCCGAGTGGATGAGTGCCTTGTGGCAAACCAGCATGAATCTATTCAGTTGTCTCTGTTGTTTCAACTGTGCTGCGTGGATTCACAATAATTTTTTTTTAAGTCTTTCAAAGGACTTGGCAGAAGTCTCCTTATTGCAGGAGCATGACTGGCACGTAGCACTCAGGGCCACCAGTGTGACAGAGCCAGGTGGGATCTGTTTCACTGTTTTAATGGGAACGAGAGCAGCCATTGTCCTGTTCAGTATCTCATTTATGAGGCCTACACCCAGTTTGGAGAACATCTCCTGAGGGTATCCTGGGGGAGCATGGCTGGCTGCTGGCCTGGA